ATATATGTATTTATATTTGTTTCACAAATAATGACGAAACACATTTTTCTATTTTTTTCCATTGTCTGAATTTTTTTCGCATTGTATTTACGGTATATATGTGTGTGTGTATATAAAATGTCTAATGCGAAAAAAATTGTGAAACAACAGCAGCTGCTTTTTGATTTCTGATAAAATCTCCCAAGTGTTAGCTTTATTTTGACAAGATTATTTAAGTAGAGTTTGTAAATGCTAAGACACAGTAACAATTTCGAGCACAAACTTCAAGGAACCCTCTTGGGGCTGAAGAAGTTATCTATGGATGACAAACTGACCTTTGAAACCTGACAGCCATGGTGATGACATCTCCATCCAGAACGGGTCTGTTGGGCTGACTGCTCTTCTGCATGGTGTCCCTCCGGGCTTGCAGCCGGTCCCGAGTCTGCTGGTAAAACTCCTGCAGGCCGTACGCCTCACTGCAGCACAGGGACATGTTTTCACCACGTCATGCTGAACGGCAGCTGACAGAAAAAAACCTTTTTGTTCCACATCTGCACCTGATATCAGCGTTGGTCTGAGCCGCCTGCACCTGCTTTCCTAGAGGAGATTCCACCTTATCTCTCAGCATCTGACACAGGCAGTATTTGGTGTTGAAGGCGTGGTTATCATATCGAATAGCCTGTGGACAATAACAAACGCAGGGCTCTGATGCTGTTAGAAACCAGGACTGTGCAGCTTTTAGACTTGTCCTGTCTGAAACATCCCACTGTAAATCACAAACTACTATAACACTCAGCTCCAAAGGTTTCAGTCAAACTAGTATACACCTCAAACACCTAAATGTTATTTGTAGGAAAATGGTGACAAGCCTTTTATTATAATAAACACAAGTTTTCCACAAGAATCCGTTTGACACTATTTTATTTTCTACGTTTTAAAGTGAAAATTAGAAAGCAGAAGGACTATGGCAGTTTGGCTAGCAAAATGCACTTATAAAAGTTCCCCCTGTCTCTGGAGCAATAACTTTAACTATTATACAGCAAAGTTTAATCTTTGACCTAAGAACTGATGATTTATCTCATTTGGTGTCTCATCTGATCTGGGGCCGCATGTCTTGGACACTCGGGTGAAGAGAGGGGCGGAGCTGTCAACTGACCACTACCTGGTGGTGAGTTGGCTCCGTTGGTGGGGGAGGATGCTGGTCAGACCTGGCAGACCCAAACGTATAGTGAGAGTCTGATGGGAACGTACTGTATGTCAGAGCCTCCCGTCAGATGGAGCTTCAACTCACACCTCCAAGAGAACTTTGAACATGTTTCGGGGGAGGTGGGGGACATTGAGTCCGAGGGGGCCATGTTCCATGCCTCCATTGTCGAGGCAGTTTACCTGAGCTGTGGCCGTAAGGTTGTTGGTGCCTGTCGTGGCGGCAACCCTCGAATGTAACCCCCTGTATGACCGGTGCCAGAGCTTGGTCCACATTGCCGGTAGTAAGTCGGACTCGTTTCCGGTGAGAGTTGGACTCCGCCAAGGTTGCCCTTTGTCACCGATTCTGTTTAAAACTTTTATGGACAGAATTTCGAGGCGAAGCCAAGGTGTTGAGGGGATCCATTTTGGTGACCTTAGGATCACATCTCTACTTTTTGCGGATGATGTTGTCCTATTGGCTTCATCCGATCGTGATCTCCAGCTCTCACTGGAGCGGTTCACAGCAGAGTGTGAAGCAGCCGGGATGAGGATCAGTGCCTCCAAATCTGAGACCATGGTCTTGAGCCGGAAAATGGTAGTGTGCCACCTCCGGGTCGGGGAGGAGGTCCTGCCCCAAGTGGAGTAGTTCAAGTATCTCGGGGTCTTGTTCACGAATGAGGGAAGAATGGAGCGGGAGATCGACAGGTGGATTGGTGCTGCGTCTGCAGTGATGCGGGCGCTGTACCGGTCTGTCGTGGTGAAGCGGGAGCTGAGCCATATGGCGAAGTTCTCGGTATACCGGTCGGTCTACGTTACTACCCTCATCTATGGTCACGAACTTTGGGTAGTGACCGAAAGGACGAGATCGCAGATACAAGCGGCCGAAATGAGTCTCCTCTGCAGGGTTTCTGGGCTCTCCCTTAGAGAGCTGAGAAGCTCCGTCATCCGGGAGGGACTCAGAGTAGAGCCGCTGCTCCTCCACGTCGAGAGGAGCCAGTTGAGGTGGTTCATCTGTTTAGGATGCCTCCTGGACGCCTCCCTGGTGAGGTGTTCCAGGCACGTCCCACTGGGAGGAGACCCAGAGGAAGACCCAGGACACGCTGGAGGGACTATGTTTCTCAGCTGGCCTGGGAACTCCTTGGGATTGCCCCAGAGGAGCTGGCCCAAGTGGCTGGGGAGAGAGAAGTCTGGGACTCTCTGCTTAGGCTGCTGCCCCCGCGACCCGACCCTGGATAAGAGGAAGAAAACGGACAGACGGTGTCTGCCCCAACTACAGTGAATTGGTCCTGTGTAAACATGTGCAAATGTTTATTCATTACATGCCATGACCTTCATGGGGGCTGTCAGTTCTGTTGGGGAGTTGGACGACCCCCCCCCCCCCCCTTTGGTTAATAAAAAAGCATAAACAGCCAAATTTCTCTTATCACAAGGCCTCTCTGTAATAAACACACTGTCACAAAATCTTTCTGAAAAAAAAAGGTCCACGTTACAGACTCTGTCATAAAAACTGTTTAATCTTTTTTGTGATAAACACTTTGTAAAAAGACCTTCTATAACAAACACTTGTCAAAAAGACTTTGTACTGTAGATTCTGTAATCCTCTCCCTGTAAAATGCTGAAATAAAAACTGTGATTACCAATTTTTCATGAAGAGCTCCTTTTATAAAGAATCTGTGACAGACTCGCTCTAATACTCTAATAAACTTGTCATAAAGACTTTGTACTGTAGATTGTGTGACAGACTCCCTATAATAAAGAATCTTGCATAAAAAATATTTGTTATAATGAGTACATAAAAAAGACTTTGATAACTTTCCATAATAAAATTATGTGATAGACTCTGTAATAATGTTTCTTTAATAAAGACTATCAGAAACTCTCTACAATAAAGACTTTCTATAATAAGCTCTGTCCCAGACTCTCTGCAATAAAGACTAATAAAGACTTTCTCTAGTAAATACTTTGTCATAGACTCTCTGTAATTACGTTCTATAATGAACAATTAGTCATAAAGATTCTCTGTAATAAAAACTTTCAATAAAAATCATGTACAATAAGAACTCAAATGTAGGGTCTGATTGGAAACTCACATATTTTAAGTATTCCTCCATGACCTGCTCCAAAAGAACTGGTCCGTTGCTGCTGAACACTGATGCGTTCCACATGGCGGCTCGAGCCAACATGACCGATGAGGCTCCTGCTGCCCTTCTGAAGTTTTCGATGTCACTGTTGGTTTTGACCAGATCCAAAGAACCTCCACTGCAAGAGAGATATTTAATCACCACTTTCACTGATTTTCTGCCCACTGGGGTGGAAAAATACCTGAAAACAATTGTCACAATAAAATAGACTTAACATTTCACACATCAGATTACTAAACGTTTAGTGCCTCCAGCTTAAAGACCCACAGGATCCATCATACCTATTAATAATCTTCTAGGAATGCGCGATATAAACGATATACGGTAGAAACGATATAAATTTGTCCTATGATAGAGATCTGTAGTCTACCGGTCAACCGCACAATTGTTTTTGATGATGTAACCGGCTGGAGTCAAAACAGAGGACGAGGTAGGCAGCATGGCTGAGAGCGCGAATGAAGGGGGGGGGGGGGGGGCATAACTTATCCGGACCTAGTTCGGGTGTGCGAAAACGAATGCCGAACTGTTACGTGATGGCGTGTCCTGTCGGCTGCAGCGGGAGGAGCGCGTGCCACGGCACATGGTGAACGCAGCGAGGCGATTGTCAGTGCAGGTGAGGACGCACAAAAGCTCGTTGAGTCTGGACCTTGTTTCTCCTGCAGTCATAGCGCAATACAGTCTCCTTGTACAGCGGGGAAGAACTGTGGGAAAGGTGACAGTCAGACTGTCTTCCCCCAAAAAAAAAAACATAAACGGGATGATTGTCACCCCGCCGGAGCGCGCACAGATTAAATGCATGGAGCACAGAAAAAGTAATCTGTAAAGTGTGTAGAAAGGAATAAATACAAGCAATTTGTTTTACC